CAGTCTCTAAGGAGAAGATGCTAAGTTTGCATTGATCAGCAAACATGACATTAGGACTCAATAAAACTGAGCATGTCTTGCTCACAGGAGAGAGTAATTGTCTCTCTTTCAATCTTTATTTAAAGATTAATCTTGCTATGCCAATGGGAAGTGGGAGGAGTGAGTCTACTCACTGGTTCTTGTATTCAATTGACTGGATCTTTATTTGAATAGTAACATGATAACAGCTACTGCTGTCTCTTGTATGGCAGAACTTTTGGGCTTCACACTGTTAACAATGTTTTCTATATGCACTCAGTTTGTGTGTGTGTATACCCTACAGGGCCGTAGCCAGTGGAGGGGTGCACGGGGTGGCACCGTTATTGTATCTGCATCACCCCCCAACCCAATTTTAAGCTCCTTATGCCAGGCCTGGCGGGCAGTCACCAGCTCTTCCTGCTTCCCCTTCCCTCACCACGTTTCCTTCCTCTCTCCCTTTCTCGGTGTTCCGACAGCATCGTGACTTTCCGGTCCGGAGTGAGACCAGGGAAGCTGGATATGGCAAGGGGAGGATGTTTGCAAGCTGACCAGTCCAGCTGGGAAACATAAGAGGGTGCTATTATTCATATTCCCAGGCCCGGGAGCTGCTGGCCAGCAATAAAGGCGAGAGGTGGCCACAATCAGAGCACCAGGTACAGGCTTGCAAGTCCTCGTACAAAGGCGCGCCTTTTTGTTTCCCGCCCTATTCTGCCCCCCCCCCCAATTAGGGTAAACCAGTGGTTCTGTCCCAATCTTTAAAGTCCAGGGTGGGCATGCTTGAAGGCAGAAGAGTGTTTGTTTGGAGGATTTCACTTGGCCCCTCCACCAGCTCTCTTCGTATACGCACGTGTCTTGTTCAAGCTTAAGAAGGCAACATGCACACATTTGTATGTAAATAAAATGTTTCAAATGAAATGAAAATGGCATAGGGAACATAAAATGGGGTAAGGATTAAAGCAGCTGAAAGGGAAGATTGGAGAAGATTCAGGTGAAGTGGTGGTGCTGCAGATCAGCTCATTTAATTTAATTTAATTTAATTAGCGATGCCCCCTCCCCTTGTCAATGATGACACCCACTTGGTAGAATAGGTTTCTGATCAATGTTAGGAAAGCTTTTAGAAAGGTCTGAAAAACAGAACTATCTAGACAAGCACTCCGCTGCTGTATGCTGGTAGTTCTGTAGAAGGGATCTCCTTTTGATATTGTCTTTAATAATATTAATTGTTGTCATTATTGTTTTTAAATTAACACTTGATTTGTAATCCACCTTGGGTCCCTTGGGGACAAAAGTAGATCGAAAACAGTAATATAAATGTGTCTCTTTTTCAGTCGTAGGGTGGAAAGACATGAGGTACGTATGCAGCCCAACTGATCATTGCCGTTTGCATACCTGTGGGTATTCCACATATACAGATCCCCCCTCAAGTCTACACCACAGATAGAAACAATAATACCATCCCCACTGTGGAAAGAACTGTCTGCACGACTCATGTTGCAATACTGGCATAAGGCTGTTCCATACTGTATGTGGGGAGGCTGAACCATGACTTCGCTGGCCTCCATTATAAGCTGTGGTGCAAACGCAAGAATGGACCCAAGAGTGGACCCAAGCACAGCTTATTGCACCAGTGCAGTGCTACAAACAGATTATGCTACATGCTTAGTATCAGACAGTGTGGTTCTACTTAGTGTTCCCACTTAACATGATACAACTGTGCTGTGTAAGAACTGTCATAGATCAGAAGTGGGTGAAAGAAGTTATAGCTGGGGCAGGATAGGCAAATTACAATACTATGAATAACGTACGAACACAAGGAGAGCCATGCTGGATCATTTAGTCCAGCTACCTTTGGGAAGCCCACAAACAGGAAGATTGCAACAGCATTATCCTGCTTACGCCCCCCAGCAACTGATTTAAAGAGACATACTACCTCTAGTACTAGAGGGTGGAGAGATATATATAATGATCAGTAGCCACCGACAGCCCAGTCCTCCATGAATCCGTCCACTCCTCTTTTAAAGCCTTCCAAGTTGAAAAACATGGTCATATCCTATGACAGCAAAGGCCACAAATTAACTATATACTTCCGTTAGTCTGCCCTGAATCTTCCACCCTTCAGCTTCAGTGGATGATCCCAGGTTCTAGTATTATGGGAGAGGAAGAAAAGTCTCTCCCTGTCCACTATCTTCATGCCATGCATAATTTTATAAACCTAAATCATGTCTTCCCTTACTCACTTTTCTAGGCTAAGCCGTCTCAAGCATTCTAACTGATCCTCATAGGACATCTGCTCTGGTCCCCTGGTCATTTTGGTTACTCTTTTCTGCATCTTTTCCAGCTCTACAATATCCTTTTTCAAGTGCAGTGACCAGAACTGCATGCAATATTCCAAGTATGGTTTCACCATAGATTTGTATAAGGGAAGTATGATAGTGGCACTTTTATTCTCTATTCCTGTTCTAATTATGGCTAGCATGGAATTTGCCTTTTTCACACCAGCTGCATTTTCATAGCTCCACCCTCTGCCACCCCCAGGTTTCTTTCCTGATCTGTTCTAGCCAGCTCAGATCCCATTAGTGTATATGGGATTATTTGACCAATATGAATCAATTTACACTTGCTCACTCATTTGCCATTTTAGAAGACAAAGAAGAAGAGACTGGATTTATACCCCGCCCTTCACTTGGAGTCTCAGAGCGGCTTACAAACTCCTTTCCCTTCCCCTCCCCACAACAGACACCCTGTGAGGTGGGTGGGGCTGAGAGAACTCCGACACAAACTGCTCTTTTTCAAGGACAGCTGTGCCAGAGCTTGTGATTGACCCAAGGTCACATCAGCAGGTGCAAGTGGAGGAGTGGGGAATCAAACCCAGTTCTCCCAGATTAGAGTCCGCACACTTAACCACTACACCAAAGTGCCCATTCCTGCAGTCTGAAGAGTTCTTTGCAATCCATTTTTGTCTTTCTTATCCATCCTAAATAATTTGGTGTCATCTGCAAACTTTGCCACTTTCTCCACCATGGGTAAGAAGAGGAGTTGGTTCTTATACCCCAGTTTTCTCTACCCTAAGGAGTCTCAAAGCGGCTTACATTTGCCTTCCCTTCCTCTCCCCACAACAGGCACCCTGTGAGGAAGTTAGGGCTGAGTTCTGAGAGAAGGGTGACTGGCCCAAGGCCACCCAGCAGGCTTCATGTGAATGATTAGGAAATCAAACCCAGTTCTCCAAATTAGAGTCCACCACTCTTTATCACTATACCACACTGTCTCTCAACAGCCTTATCCATGGAAACAAGATCAAATAATCCCCAGAACACCCCCCCCCCGGCATCATTTTTATCCAAACAAGGATTAAAAACTAATAATCCAAAGAGACCAGCGGTGTTGAAAGCTAATTGGTATACAAAGCTCCCACAGAAAAGAAGACAACTGCATCTGGCAAGCTGAGAAATATAGTTTCTGATATTATAAAAACGGTCAACTCTGAGCACAAATGGGCTTGTAAACCTGTAAAATGGTAAACCATATGTAGCCCACTCGCTATATACAGTAGCCTAAGAGACTCAGCAAATCTTCTGCCTGTGGTAGCTGCTGAGACTGCAAAAATGTGGGACGGAGCAATTAAGAACCTGGCAGGCCATATCTAGTGGGTGGGACTTCGTTTGGTTTGGTGGGTCAGGTGGAATGGCAAAATTAAAATGCAGAACACACATTTATCTTAGCTCTGTCACAGCAGGCAAATGTGAGAAAAGTCGATAAATGGGTGGGTGTACGGCTAAAAGGTGAAGGAATGAAAGGAACATGATAAAGGAAGGGCAGATAAGCCCTATGGCTTGAGACGTTTTTGCAGTACGAAGGCTGAACATCTATGGAGGGATATATTTTTGTTTGTGAATGAAAGAGGCAGTACACACATGGAACCCAAAATGACACCTTTTAAATACAAGTGGGAGACCTACAAGGACTGGAGGAGAGTCATCTCATTTCCCTCTGCATCCCCCTCCCCATACTATTTCCTCTTTTCCCTCCCTCTGGCAGCCCCCACAGCACCTCACCTTTCTCTTCTTCATTCTCTCCCACTGACCCACCCACCAACCTTCCCTTATACACCCACCTCACTCTTCAGTTTCCCCTTATTCCTTTCCCCAGGTAACCTCTTCCCTTCTTTCCCTTTCACCAACTTAAATATCCTGCCCTGCCAGTTTGTAGGAGAAGAACATAGTGGTAATTGGCGATATCATGAAGCAAATACCAAGAGCAGTGTTGTGTGTGTGTGAGACTTTCTAAAATAGATGAATACTTATGCTGTGCTTTGAATGAGTTGAATTGGACAGCCAGTCTGAAGACTGGGGAGGAACAAGTCAGACAAGTGAAGCCGCCATCAGGATCACTGATTATGGCACCTGTAGAATGTGTTGTGAAGGCAGAAGGAAGCCATGTTCATACTACAGGAGGGGGAAAAAGTGAGTTCTGTTGAAAGTTATGTGTGTATACACCTTAAAACAGGATTTTGATACTGGCCTCAAAAGCAGAGTTTCAACACCACAACCTCTGGCCATGCCAGCTCCCATTAGAGAGCACAAATGTACATCACCAAGTTTCAACTGTTATTTTCAAATTTTGCCTCAGAAAAGCCCAGGAGCAACTAAGCCATATGTTTTGCACCAGCACAAATCCAGGATTGGCTGGATGCCACTGGACACATTATAAGATGACACTACTGCCTTTCTCACTGAGGGGTCAGAATGCTTTGTTAACACTCGTTAATTTCAGAGGTGTCCTCACCTTGCATAGTTGATAAACTG